TTCGAATCCCAGGGCTGTTTTTTTGCTTTAATTTTTGTTTAATTCCTTTCTTCCTTCAAATCTCTTCCATTTATTTTGGTCCCAAACTTCCATGTTTATTTTCCGTTCTTGAAATTGTTCTCAATGCATCCAAAATGGCCTCAAAATACCTGCAAAACATATAAAACCAAGCATAGGACTGCTCTCCCAAAATAAAACGGAAAATTGAAATTAAATATAAATATTAAATTTAATTGGGACTCAAAACTCCTTCAAAATATGTCTAAAAAGTGTATAAAATATGTGCATATCTTTATGATTTAATTGGAAACTCTGTTCCTTTAAGGATGATTTTACTCACTCATCCAGCTATGAGTTAAATCTTTATGATTTAATTGGAACTCTGTTCCTAACCAGAGTAGTCTGCTTGTAAGACGTGCCTCAGCCAATTACAAGTATGGTGAAAAGGTGTCCTGGTCCGATTGTAGTAATATTGTTCGCCCAACACCAGACCAAGAGCTAAGAGCCCGGCTCATCAGTTGGAACTATGTTCCTACCTAAATAGTTGTCTTGTGGAGTAACGCCCAAGCGGAACACAAGATAATGAAATATGGATCTTGGCTCACTAGAGGTTTCGCCGGAAATCTCCGAATCAATATTGAGGGTTATTGATTTGTTAAAAATAGTGGGAGATAATTAATTAAAGGCATAATTATGTATTAAACATGATAGGTAACCTAGTTTGCAAAATTTTCTGTAGATGGCAAACAACAACAACCCTTTCAACCTGCGTTACATTCTGGAAAACAACAAGTTATCCGGGACCAACTTTCTTGACTCGGAGATGAACCTCCGAATCGTTCTTAACTGTGAGAGGAAACTCTACATCCTCGAAATGGATCCTCCCAAGACCCCTGATGCTAATGCTCGTGCGTCCGAACTCACTTCCTTCAAGAAGTATGAGGACGACGCGCGAAATGTAAAGTGTATCATTATGGCCAGTATGACCGCGGAGCTCCAAAGGCTCCACGCGGACATGGAAGTGCATCCTATGATACAACGCTTAAGAGACCTTTACCAGGGTCAGCCCCAAAACTCAGGTATTTACGTTATCGAAGTCAATATGTCTGATATCACCTCTTGGGTGATGGATACTGGATGTGGTTCTCACATCTGTACTTCTATGCAGAACTTGCATGAATGCAGACAATTGATGGACGGAAATATACAACTAAAAGTCGGCAATGGCGCACTCGTCTATGCATTGGCCGTCGGAACCTATAGTTTATCTCTACCTAGTGGTCTTGTATTGCAGTTAAATAATTGTCTGTTTGTACCCAGTATGAGCAGAAACATAATTTCTGTATCCTGCCTTGACAAAGCAGGATTTTCGTTCGTTGTAAAAGACAAAACTCTTTCTGTCTTTAGAAATGAAATATTTTATGCAACTGCGAAAATGACCAACGGTCTCTATGTCCTCGACATGGATACCGCAGTATATAACGTAGATGTTAAGAGAAACAAACCTAACAGTTTGAATCTCGCGTACCTTTGGCATTGTCGTTTGGGCCACATTAACGAGAAACGCATATCTAAGTTACATCGTTCTGGTGTACTTGATTCATTTGACTTCCAGTCATATGATGTATGTAAATCTTGTTTACTTGGTAAAATGACAAAGGCTCCATTCACCGGTCACGGTGAAAGGGCGAGTGACTTATTGGGCCTCATACACTCCGATGTCTGTGGTCCAATTAGCACTGTAGCTAGAGGTGGTTATTCTTACTTCGTTACATTTACTGACGACCTTAGTAGATATGGATATGTGTATCTCATGAAACACAAATCGGAATGCTTTGACAAATTCAAAGAATTCAAGAACGAAGTAGAAAAACAATTAGG